TCCTTATAGATGCCCCTTTGTTCTCTGATGGTTTCTCTAGGAATGCCATCATCAAATATGGCACCTTCAACTTCATCAGATATTGCCTCTGACAGTATTCATTGGTGTTTTCTTCAATATTCCTAACTACAGCATTTCTTCAGACCTTTTATTGTTTCTAATCCAATAATTTTGAAAAGTCACTCATAATAAGTTTTAATAAATTTGCATTTCTTCCTTTCTTCCTTCCTCCTCCCTTCCTTCCTTCATCCTTTCTTTCTTTTTTCTTTCTTTCTTTCTTTCTTCCTTTCTTTCTCTCTGTCTCTGTCTCTGACTCTGTCTGTCTCTGTCTTTCTTCCTTCCTTCCTTCCTTCCTTCCTTCCTTTCTTTCTTCCTTTCTTTCCAGTTTGGTTTTTTTTTTTTTCAGACAAGGATTCTCTGTATATCCCTATCCTAGCTGTCCTCGAACTCCCTTTGTAGACTAGGCTAACCTTGAACTCCCAAGTGCTGGGATTAAATGTGTGCACCACCAAGCCTGGTTTGCATTTTTCTAACAAATATTTGTATTGAGCAAATTTTATTGACAGCTTTTATTGCTAGCACTCAAAATATTTATTGATCATATGATATGAATGCTAGCCAACCAGAATAGGTGCCTTGAACATCATCACTTTGTCATAGTCATTTTTTTATCATTATGTGAGTTACCTACTTTATACTTGGCTATATGTCTTTTTAAAAGATGTTTATATTTTGATTTTTAATTATGTGCATGTGTGTAGTTGTGTGTACATGAATTCAGGTGCCCATGGAGGCCTGAAGAGGGTGTCAAATACCCTAAAACTAGAGTTTTAGGAGGTTGTGAGTCACTTGATGTGGATGCTGGTCATCAAGAACTGGTTAAGAAAGTACTCTTAACCTCTGAGACATCTAGTCAACCTAATCCTATTACATTTCTAACATGCCAAATTTTTTACATATCCTGCAGCAGCACTTTTCAGCAGATCTTCTATGATGATGTTAATGTTCTGAATTTATTCTGTCTGAAATAGTAACCACTAACTGCATATAACTTATAAGCACTTGAAATATACCCAGTGTGACTAAAAATTTTAATTTTAAGTTTTGTTTAATAGCTTCACATGATTAGTAACTACCATAACCCAGAATATAGTTATAAATACTGTCTCTATCTAGACAAGTCATAGGTCCTAGAGGAGAACACGATACTCTCATTCTGCTAAATGTGCATAGTATTAAAATAACCCCTAACAACTCATTTCTATATACATAGATTAGTGCACCTTTCAATATTTAACAGAGAAGCTTCTTCTTGTATTTGATAGTTATTAATATAGAGATCTACAACTAGCCAATGTGCAGAACATAAGGAACTATGTAGTACTCAGTTTTCACTGGGACATCTGTATCACACCCCTTCTCTTCCAGGCTCAGGGGTCATCATAGTAGAGGGTGTCAAAAGATTATAAGTGACAGAAATTGTACACACCTGTAGCAAAACAGTATTTACTGGAAATAATAGTGCCTTTATACAAATTAACTCATAGCGCCTGTGACCACATGCACAAGATCAAGACAGCCAAAATCCCAGCACGGTTGGGGGAGAAACTCACAAAGTCCTACCCCTAGTTGAGGAACTATTTGTAATTGATGTTTGCTGGGGGAGGGACACTCAGTTTCTTCTTGGATGCCACCTGTGAAAACCTATCCAAGTTTCATTTGACGAGGGTAAAGGGGGGAAGCAGATTTGATCAAAAACATTATATGCATGTGTGAAGTTCTCAAACAATAAAAGAAGAAAAAGCAAGCAAATGAAACTAGCAACAACAACAACAAAAAACAAACAAACAAGTAAATCTATGGGTTTTATATCAACTAAACTATAAAAGCTACCATCAGCATCTCTTTCTCTCAAGCACATATATTAACATAAAATCAATTTTGTAAGAGATAAATTTTTGTTTTAAAATGAACATTAAGCATATTAGTAAAGAATCAAAATGGCAATAACAACAAAAGTAACTTTGTTTTTCTCTCAAAGACACAGTTATAATTCGTGTTACCTTTAGTTTTGATAACCCAACTTCCTTTAGCAAGGACTTGAGGCAAGTCTGGAAAATATCTTCCTCCCTTTTTATTTTAGTCAACACTAATCACACTCAATCCTTACACATACTAGGGTATTTTTTTTTCAGCTACTGAATTTCTACTGCATTGTTTTTTCTGTCTACAGTTGAGTCTATATCAGAAAGCCATAATATTTGGTACCTACTAGACATGCCCTTTTATGGTCTCTCCTAAGATTATACTTCTGTTAATTATTATTTCCTGTACATTTTTCTATACTAAGTTTATAGCCATTTTGATTATTTTCAAAACATTAATTACCATAGAAATGTCTATTAGAATATAAATATATACACAAGTTAGAAAGAATTGGAATATTTATGATAAGTAGTGTACCTAACCAATAAAATCTCTTTTAATTTTAATTTTTATATACACGTGATTTTTAAAAATTATGACTGCTTTTGAATATTTCTGCATTTCTGCTGACTCCTGACATTCAAATTCTATAATATCCTACCATTTTACTTTATAGAGTTTTTCCTCATGTCTCAACAGAAGAGCCACGAGAAGTGAAGTAGTATCAAAAATCATTTGAATTTTCCTACTTCTCTCAGGAAGATACATAACTGATATCTGTCTCCCAAAAGAGTTCCGGCATGCAGTGGGCACCTGGGACTTTAGGACTGCATTTTCCCCCTAGGAATGGCATTTGAGAAGAACTGTCTTTCCTAGAGAAGAGTCGCGTTTCCTAAAGCTCATTGAACTTCTTTCTTCCCATGCTCCTTCACGGCACACGACCTGAGAGAGAACCACCACCTAACAGAAGCTGCCTCAGCCTGTTGTCACAGAGTTTGCATCCCCATCTGCCTTTCCTCTCTCCAGGTTGATGGGAAGAAGTGCACCTCATTCTCAAGTCTTAGCCGGGATGATGACTTTATGTTGTTTTATTCTTTATTCTACAAAGTTTTGCAAAGCTTTAAATACTTCAAAATGTAAAAGCAAACAAAAACTGGCCACAGCAGAAGCTAAACAACAATTAAAAAAGAAAAAAACAAAACGAACAAAAAACAAAGAGGGCAGTAAGCATAGTTACTTTGTGGTCTTACGAATTTTGATTGTCTTAAATTCCACATGAATATCTACATACTACCTTGTCCCCTGGAGACTGTGGTACCATGAATATGTGAATTAATAGCTTTGATCATGGGTTTAAAATGCAGAGCCCTATTCTGATTGTTTTTAAACCCATGCACCTCTCAGCCTCGCTTACCTTGGCTGTAAATCAACAGTATTGGCAGCTCCTCAACCTATCTCAGAATTATTAATGTTCAAATAACACTAAGTATACATAGATTTGCACTGATTATTTCTTGTCCTTAGCAAACAGGAATTGTTGATTACCTTAAGCACAAAATAACTTTAAAATTTCAACTTTGTTGTGCAAATATCATTTAAAAATCACTTCAGGTAGGTGGGGGTGCAGCTCAGTCGTAGAAACTGTCTAACACATGCAAGACTTTGAACTCGGTCCTCTGCCTGAAACAAATTACTTAGTTCTTAGCTTTTAAAAGGCCTTTTCTTGTGTTGATATTAGTCATCATCACAAACTTGCATTACTATTATTCCAGGTGCCTGTGGAAAACAAACAGTCTGAATAATGTGCCTAGAACAGTTTATTAAACTCTTAACTAGCTAAATCTGAATTAGTCATGTAGTCAGCTAAGGAGGAAAAGGTAGATGTGAGAAGCAGTTTCCTTTTCCTCTGTGGGCTAAGATGTGCTGTCCACATGGCAGATCAGAGGATGGATCAGAAGTTCTGCCACACTTCATTGGACGAGAAGAACACCTGAGCGAAATCACTTAAAACCCCTATTGGCCTAATCTTTAATGAACCAAAATATATTTCTAAGTCAATATTTTTGCAGTTTCATAATTGTTTATTTAATAAAAAGCCATTATTTCATTGATAAAATAGCTATCTGGAGTTTATTAATTACGTAATTAACCATTACCTGTTTTAAAAGTCCTGGAAAGAAACTGGTCATTTCAGAAGGTTGGGGGCTTTTATTATTTTTTTTAAGATAATGTGCTTGCATTATTTCATCAAATTAATGGAGTTACACTTTACCTTTGGCTAGGATTTACTGTACAACACACTGTCATGTGCATCTAGTTCTGTGGCACCTTGTTTTAATGATTAGTTAAACTGAAGATAATGAAGGTCTTATCATGTGCCTAATTAGCCATGCAGTCCCTAATGGTAGTCTAACTCATTTAGATAAAGTCAGTTTGCTGATCTGTTCTTTAAGGAGAGGTTGGAGAGGAAGCCAAGGGGAAAAGATTGCATACAGTGTGTGTGTGTGTGTGTGTGTGTGTGTGTGTGTGTGTGTGTGTGTGTGTAAGTGCATGCGCCTGTGGGTGTGAGAGAGTGCATGCGTGAGAGCTCATGCATGTATGTGCGTGGATGTGCATGTGTGTGTGCATGCATTTGTGTGTGTGTGTGTGTGTGTGTGTGTGTGTGTGTGTGTGTGTACAAAGCAGCAGAACAGACCACAACGCAGTATAGTGCTAAGGCTTCTTGACAATTCTTAAAGGTTTTTCCTGAATTAGTATAATCCAAACACCAGTTCTTTCTGTATCCTCTACTACAGTTTTCTAATTGTTGAAGTCAAAATTCTTAGGTCAATAGTGGTCTGCTTTTCAAGTTCCTAAGTCTGTGGTATTAGATCACTGAAAATTATCCCTCCCAAGTGAATTGGAAGCTGTTGAGCAGGTCTATGCAAACATTCTTACTCCGTCTGACTTAACTGTATTTGGAATCCTTGTTTCCAAGTAGCTCCCAATAAATAACATTTACTTTTATATTTAAAGAACAAAACTTTTGAGCTTCTAAGATACATAGCAAAAACAGAGACGAAAAGCATTCTTACCTCATTCTTCAGTTTGCTCCCCGAAAACCTTAAAAATCATACATTTTCCATTAGTTTGAAAGAAATTATAATTATAGCATCCAAGAAAACACAGAGGACATTAAAAGTAGTCTGTTCACAACATTATTACTGCTCAAATGTCTAAGAAAAAGTGGTTTTGTGGAGGAAATTAAAATAAAAGATATCTCAGGAAGTTGGGTAAGATTTGAGGTAAACAAAAACACTTTATACTAAAGGTTTGTATGTGCCCTGGCCTGTTTTTATGTTTTATTGTGGGTATTCACTAGTAACCTGCTACTGCAACATCTAAATCTTGACATAATTCAAGTGACTTATTTTTTCCCTAAGATGTTTCACTTTTAAAAGGATTTCTTCTTTTAAGAATTACAAGTAATTCTCAGTAACCACAACACAAGGAAGTCTCGGGAGCAGTTTTAATTAGTATGTACCACCATTCTTCTAAAATTTGTGTACCCACTGGTCTTATTGACTATAACCTCACATATTAATGTCCTGCTCCCGATAGTCAATGGCAGCTTAAAACAATGTGTTCCTGCCGGGCGGTGGTGGCGCACGCCTTTAATCCCAGCACTCGGGAGGCAGAGCCAGGCGGATCGTTGTGAGTTCGAGGCCAGCCTGGGCTACCAAGTGAGTTCCAGGAAAGGCGCAAAGCTACACAGAGAAACCCTGTCTTGAAAAACCAAAAAAAAAAAAAAAAAAAAAAAAAACAATGTGTTCCTTATAGTAACATGGATTTTTGTCACAGTGACTCAAATGAGACAATCATATCTTACTGTCTTACTAAGATGGTACTCAAGATTATGTGTTTAGCAATTAATATAATAACCTTTCTGTGTTGGTAAGGTATTATTCAAGTGCACAGATTTTTAAAATACTGTATCTTCAAAACTATCACGTTTTTAACTTTATTTTTATTGAATCCAGCCTGAAAATAGAGACAATCTTATAAGTAAATGAGAATATTTAAAAGATTTATTTATTTTTACATTATATGTATGGGTGTTTTTTACTGCATGGATGTCTGTACACCATGTGTGTGCTGTGCCCATGGAGGCCAGAGACAGCATTGGATCCTCTGGAATTGGAATTTTGAATGGTTGTTAGTTGGAGGATATGAGTCCCCTGCAAGAGCATGTACTCTTAACCCTAGAGCCACCTCCCCAGCCCCTGAGTAAGTGCAAATTTAAAGGCAATTCTACTTCCTTGAATTCTCCTCCTCATCTTTTGGGGACACCTAATTCACTTTTATTTTCTCACTAACCATTAAAATCGTATAATTTATCAAGTAATATAGACTATATGGTGACAATGTTCACACAAAGCTGATGTTACGTTTGATGATTAGAAGAAAACATTTTCATAATAAGCAAAATTACGAAGTCATTTTATTGAACAGATATTATGCATATTTAAAGAACTGCAGAGATGCATCTTGAATGCGATATCACTCTACCTTGTCAGGCCCTTTCCAGAATAAACGGAGTGGTAATATGCACTGGTCTCTTTGATGCCAATCCCATAGTAATGATACCTACAGCAAGACAGGAGTCATTTCTGTGTTAGTGAAAGAGAAAGGAAAAGTAGGAATAACTGAACCAACCCAGTAAGGACAGCCACCCCCAGAAGACATTCCCTGGGCAGTACCACTGCCCACCTTTCCTCCATGCTTTCCCATCTACATGCATCCAGGGTCAGGAAGTGGGTGAAACTAAGGGATGAGGCCATTTTCACTGGACTCTAGACTAACTGTATTGTCAAATGCTACTTTTGGCATTCCCATATCAGTGTAGGGGATAGAGAAATGGCAGATATGTACTTCAAGCCACTCTTTTGACATCAGGAATTTTTTTAAAAAGGACTTGGTGTAGTAGTTCCATACCTAAACATTTTGATGGTCCAGAACAGAAGTACATATAGAATGTCAAACTACTTAAAAATACAAATCAATTAAATGAACTGCTACATAAGATATTACTGTGTTATTACATTTACAGGACACACCCATGATGACCTAGCAAACAGACTTGAATTTAGGATTCTTAAATTTATGGAGCTCCAGGTGAGAGTGTGATAGTTGGGGGAACCCACCCTTACACCACCTTTCAGCTCTTGCTTTGTTCACTGGGTGGGGGAGGGGGAGGAATACTGTACATTCTAGAGCCTTCCACCACTCACAAGTTTCCCATAGCCACTCTTCAGTCTAGGGTCATGTACATGAGTAGGGCAAGGTAACCTCCTGTGGATGGATTGGGAGCAGGTCCCCAGAGCTCAAGAAAACAAAGCTGTTTAGGGGAGAAGTGACAGGCCTCCAGGGGCCCCAGGGGAGAGATGCAGTCTATAGATGAAGGCAATTCACTCCTTCATGAGTGACACATGGACTTTCTGATGCTCTAGGAAAACAAGCAGCTGAAAGACATTGGGATCAGAGCCTCCAAGCACAAGGCCCATGGCAGCAAAGCTGTTTCTGTTGACTCAAGGTCACTTGAGTTAGATAGTGGTTTTTAAAACTAATGTGTATATATACATGCTTCTATACATTAAAATGATGTTATAGTTGAGAAACAGGTAGAGTGATATTTTGTAAGTATGGAAGACAAGATTTAAAGTCTCAGTTTGGGTAAGGAAATCTGTAGCCTAGAACAGAAAACTCCCAAGACTACTCCACTTTCATAGATTGTAAAAGCTATACTATGTGATACGAGGCAAGAGGATCCCTACGGCATATTAAAACAAGCAAGGAGATGGAAAAATAATAAGTCTATGAAAGCTCAGAAACACTGAACTGATTTTACATTTCTACAGTAAAAGAAAGAAGTTTAATTAATAAAGTCTTGATCAAAAGAAATGCAGTAACAGAAACCGTTAAACAATGAGTAATAAACAGTAACAGCGGTACTTAAACTATGAATAAACTAGCAGATTTAGATACATTTGGTCATGGTCAGATATAGTAGTGGAATTAGGATTATGAGCTTGGGGGTTTGAAATAAGTATTAATATTTCCCTTTTTAAACTTTAGAACTAAGGTACCAGTCCAATGTCACTGCATTAGAAGAAATAAACCAGTGGGAACCAAAGACAAGAGAATCTTTTTAAATGGAAAAAAATATCATAACTTCACGCTCTTTTGCAAAGCTTACTGTTTGTTCTCTAGCCTTTGCAGTTTAAACAACTACACTTCAGCCACTTTTTTAAACAATATATGTGAGCATCACTCCAGACACTGATAAACCTATTAGAACTCCTATCTTCCTGTTTCTCATCTCTAACCCCCCTTTTCAACCTACAATAAAATAATTCTATCCCATGGTAAAGCGGTTTGCCATGCAGTCTACAAAGAACTACATTGCCTTTGCAGGTAGCAGACAACCAGATAAATCAAAGAGGTAGCCATGAGTTCAATAAACATTAGAGCATGTCTATCACATCTGGCCATTGTGATAGTTGTCAGAACAATGATGAATGAAATAGACATGGAAGATAAGACCAGCTGTTCATCCCAGTCCATGGTCTCCTGAGCTAGATGCCTGCTGGTCCTGCTCTAGTGACCACACTGATCGCCACAGAAGCAAGTACATTTCCAGGTTCTAAAATTACCTGCGGTTGTACTTGTTTTAAATTGCAACATCCTTCGAGACCTTGGCTAGTGTGGATTTGTATTTTTTCTTATTCATGACATTAAGATTGTTTCATATGTATTTACTACTTTCTTGTTTTTAGAAAACAATTTTATTGCTTATTTTTTGTTACCAATCCAACCATTAGAGCAAGAAAGTTCACAAATAGAAGATTCTGTTTCTGCTTGAATTCAGTGTCAAGGTTTTGTGCATTTTATTCACTAGTCAAATTTAAGTGACATATTAACACAGACACCAAGGATCTGACTTGGTCAGTGGCCTTCACCTCTACAACAGAGAAGCAGCAGCTTTTCTCATTAGCAATGTCTCCTTATTTATGACTGATGAGATGGACAAACGTATTCTATCAATGCCATCTTATGAACATGTCTAGAGATAGGGAACCATTGAAAGAGTCTTCCTTTCTTCAGCTGTATTCTGTGTTCTGTGTGCTAGATGGGGACACTCTATCGGTGACAGACAGAGGAGGGTCTCTGTCCTTGAGGAGTTAATAGTCTTGGAGCAAAAAAGAATGCAAAAAAAAAAAAAGGTGATTCCAAATTAACACAGGCTACAGTTGAAGTGGGTGATAGCAAATGATAATAGAAGTTGTTGCCGTTTATTGAGTTCCTGCTCATGTAAAGAACTTTGTAATTACATGATTTCAAATGCAGTCTATAAGGAGAATATTATCCCCACTTCATAATAAAACTTGAAAAAAAATCGGTGAGTTACGTTAAATTTTATTTATTATTTTTGTTGTGTATGTAGACACATGACACGCGAGTGTGTGTGTGGTATGGTGTGACTGTGAGTGCCTGTGTGTGGAGATCAGGAAAACTTTCAGGAATCAGTTCTCTCCTTCCACCATGATTTCTAGAGACCAAGCTCAAATGTCAGGCTGGCATGACAAATTCTTTCACCCCATGTGCCCTCTTAACAACCCTGTGGTTCATTTAAAGGTTATTTAACAGCCTTATTGGGTTGAAGGCAAAATTCAGGGCCACAGTTTCCCAGAGCACTCTGTATTCCAACAGTGCATGCTGCCCTCAAACTGAAAATGCAGAAGACACAGCTAATTTTGTATCTCAAGCTTACTCACCATCAGAAATTCTTAAGTCAAATACAGTTTGAATACGTGTACACTCATGCACACTCTCTCTAGGAGTCATCCTGAGTTAGAGTAGCGTAAATAATCACGTGAATCCCTAAGACCTGGAACATTGATTGGGATGTCTCATATTTGACCTTCCACGTGTAAATAAAGCCTTCTAGACTGCAAGCTTCCTGTAACAGGAAGTCAATAACTTGTTGAATAATTGAATGAATATGTGGAAAAAGTTTTAAAGGCAACAATGTGCCATAAACTATAAAAAATAACTTGCCAATTAAGGTCAAACATATATAGTCACATATGTGTGATCATCATAAATCTAAACTTTGGCAGAGGTCAAAATTTTTTTATCTTCTGTAATATAAGAATATCTGGTGACTCCTTTCAGCCAGTGAGCATGTTGTAAACTTACCCATTTCTGTCTGGATTACTTGCTCTCCATAAAGAGCTTGTGCTGGCTCCTACCTTTGTTCTGTTGAACTCCTCACTGGGAATGTCTCCCTCCCTTCCTGGGATAGGATCTGTCTTAGTCAACTTTGAGACATATTGTTAGCGTGCGGAACTGCCTAGTCTCTGAGACAAAACTAATCTCTCTGTCCACTGAATTCCACTCTCAGCTATTTATCCCATTGTGGCCTTATCCCTGCAATCATTAGTATCTACGTCCCATGGCTTAAGCACTAAGATTTGAGGAAATCCTCAAACATTTATAAATCATTGTGTTCTAGAGATTGGAAAACCAATAAAACACAAACTTTCTTAAAGCCGATAGTTTCTTTAGTAAGCACCCGTCACTGTGAATTTCCACGTTACCAATAAAACACTCGGGCAAAGCAAAAGTTGCGTGTTTGAGTATTGTGTAGGACAGACATGAGGACAGCATGTTAGACAGGAAGCTGGTGGTGACACACAGCTCAGGGGTTTTTTTTTATTCAATCCACTGCCGTGCTTCGTACCTAGCTTCTTCGGGAGCAAATAAAACAATTGTCTTCCCTTAAGCTTTCTTTTGGTCTAACAAGGCACCTGTTATCGTCTTAGTTAGTGATGATTTAGTGTCTTTCAGAAAAGAGAGGAGATAGTGCACGAGCACTCCTGTCTTCCTAGAGTTTATATTTAACCCTGTAAAACTGGGAGGAGTGGGTTCATGCAGGGTATGCATGGATTCTTCGTCTCCACTGTAGCATTTTACAACACCGCTTTGTCATTAATAGATTTTGCTAAAATAAATCTTGCTAGGAAGTGTTTCCAGAAATATTACAACAAAAGAACCTAACCTAACACGTGGTGAATAAGAGTGAGATTTCCTTGACTGGTTTGATCTACGTACCCCTACCTGTTGTTTGTTTTATGGGCCAGTCTAGCATTTCTCAATTCTTTATCACTATATGATTACATCCATTTTACTAAGGGAAACAGGTTATAAATACCACTAACATTCTGAGTATAACTGGCTGTGTTCTCTAGAAGAAAATATTGGTCACAAAATTAGTCTTTCTAATTTTCTAACAAAATTGTATTCATTCATTAGCAGCAACTGTCCTCTGACCTATGCTTTATGTCAAGGGACTGAGCTCATTTGTAAATTATGAATGCACAGGAATGATTAATTAGTTCTTGGGCTCATAATATAACTGTAACAGATCCTTAGCATATGAGGTGAAACCATTCCATCTCTCTTACACAGCTAGCATGTTCACATTGTGCCTAGCACTTCTCTTCATTAGCTGATCAGCGTATACCTATGCTTACATTTCTTCTTCTTCTCATCAATTCTCATATAGAATTCCTGAAACATATGTT